ACTAAATGTGCTTTTAGTTACATGCTATGCAGCCTACAGCCCTAAGAGTGGGGGTCTGAGTGACTGGTGAGGCACACAGGCATAGAAGGAGGTTATCTGAAGATGTTTAAAAGCCAACATATGTATTTATTGCCAGTCATTTTCTCCTGTCTTGTCTTCCTGGGGATGCTCCTGGGCTTGGCAAGGTCCTCAAGCCAATTTGAGAGCATCTAAATTCTCTGCTCTCCCCTAGTGCACACCTCCAAAAGCTCCTGATGTGCTTTTCCTCCTCTCCTGATGTGCTTTTTGTTCCCTCAGACCATGTGGGCAGCACAAACCAGGTACTGTGGATCTCAGAGGCTTTCAGTGCCTCTTCCTAGTGCACGGGAGCCATCTAGCTCAAGAGGGCTTGATTGATATTTTTAGTGGCTTTTTCACAAAGGGGGAAAAAGCTGTACTGTCAAAATTGGAGACATTTTCTGTGCTGAGGCGACTGCTGAGCCTGGCAGGGAAATTGTTTCTCTGACTTGTCTGGAGAATGGGGAGAAGCACTAACTGGAGCCTACCAGAGAGACTCAAAGAGAAGGAAACCACTTTCCTCTCACAGCCTGGTTGTATGATTTTCTACAACCTCCTCCCAGCCCCTCTGTGTCTCCTGCAGGACAATTCATGCCCAGAATTCCACAAAATTCTTTGTGTTTACGACGAAGTCGTGCAGTTGCCAGTGCTGTACATAAAGTTGTCCCCTTGATCTCTGCTCCTTCTACCCACCCAACTATCTTGGCCATAAGTCCTCCTGTTCCTTTTTGAACTGAAGTTTTGGAAATGTCCTTCCATGTGGTTACAGGGTATGGAGGAATCAGGGAGCTGGGCTGAGAGAGATTTCCTAGGGAAAGAGGGAGGATGGGAAGCAAGGAGTGGAGAGCACCCAAGAGCCTCTGAAACTCAGCAGAAGGGTCATCAGCAGCAAATGCCAGGGGACAGCAAAAGAGACACATATCTCCTGTCAGGGGCTAAGCAATAGGAGAGTAACTGATTATTATAATTATTTACAACCCCTTTTAGCTGGGAAGAACTAACCGGCAGTTCCATTTTTTCCCCAAGCATTCTCCCCTAATAACACCTTTTAGACAGCCTGTTCCGTGGCTTTTGTGAGGCATGTTTTTCATCTTCAAACTCAATTTCATTTATTAGAGGCTTCGCCGTGTGTGACACAGTGTGCACACAGCAAGTGCAGCGAGGATTCACTTTAATTATCGTGTATTGCCAGGAGGCAAAGCGCGTTTGCGCCAGCGGGCGAAAGGGCGAGGAGGGGGTGTTGTCTATTTCCTCTCCATGCCAAATATCACAACTGTAAGGGGATGGAGCTTTCTGAACTGCATTTTAAATTTGGAATGGGGACGTTGGGTGGCTGTCAGTGCTCTGTGCCAGCCCCAGCGCTGGGAGAAAGTCTCCAAGCAATGAGTGCCCGTGTGGCTGCAATAAATAGTCTGAGATAACAAACACCTCTCTGAAGTTTTTGTTAGAAAGTCAGCCAGAGGACTCTTCTCTGGGCAGTGACTAATGATATTTGAATGTTGCTCTTTATGCAAGTGTGATAATATATAGGGTTGTTGTGGTGGTTTTAATTGGAATTAATTTTTTGTAAGATGAGTCAAAATAACATTTCAGAAGGGCCTTCAAAGGAGGAGCAGAAACTGGAGGCAGAAGCTCTGTTTTCTAAGCTGACTCCAAACCTTTTTCAGTTTTCTGAAAGAGAAAAATTTCCTTTCCTTCACACAGAAATTAGGAAAGTTTCTACTCTGCAGTCTACGCACCCGACTGGCTTTCTGCTCAGTTGTGTATTAAAGGTGTGGAAAGCACAAACTGGAGCGTATTTTTAATTGGAATAATTTTTTGTTTTTGAGGAAGTTTGCTTTTTTTCCCTCCCAGTTAATTTGACAAGTGGAGACATTGTGAAGGTTAACTCTGTTAGAATCACCCGGTGTGGGAGGGAGCAATGCAGAAAGATAATGAGAAATCAGAAAAAGTGTAGAACGAAACAGACAAAATGATGAGGAACTGACTTTGGGAGGAAGATATTGCAAGAATAGACATGGAAAATTTGTGGTTTTACCCACTTGCATATAGTGACTTTAAAATTATGGTCATTGTTATTTGCTTTGAGAAGTGTAGGAGGCAGAACATGGACTTGAAGGAGACCTTGTTATTCAGACCATTTTTACTTCTTTCAATATGACCAGGTAGTTACCTTACTCTGGAAATTCCTGTAGAAAAATTCCAAAAAAGAAACATGTGCCCTATGACTGTGACACCAACATTTTAGTAAAGCTGGTAAAAAAAAAAAAAAAAAGAAATTAGCATTACCTTTGGAAAGAATGGCACATTGCATAAAGTTTATGTACACACACACAGGTGTTACAAATATAATTGTTTTGGCTTAATTTTACTTAAAAAATTAAGAGAAAAAGTCAAAAGTAAGCACCTAAAATAGAGGTTTTCAGTTTTATTTTCCATATTTGTTTTTCTATTTTTTTCCCTACCACAAGCTGATATTTTTCAGTGAAAAACAAAACAAAAATTAATTGCAGTCTTCCAAGGCAATGAAAAATTACTGTGTTTTCATGTGGCCTTGCTCAGTTTGAGCAGTTCTCAGAGAGAAAATCCTGCTCTGCATGAAAAAGGAGTTGTCCTTTGCCCACGTTAGAGTTAACTGATGGGGAGCTGAGGCCATGAGGCAATATGGTACCAAGGGTGTTCATTCTTTAAAGCAAGAGTGACGCCTGTTTGCTTCTTGCAGCTCTCTGATTGCCCAGCAGGCTTGATTGAAACCCAAACCAACGAGCTTTGAAGCAAAGATTGATTGTTGTGCACATTTTTGATAATACAGCAATTTGTCTCCTTGGGTGTAAAGCTCTAATCCCCCTTTCATTTATCAGTGGGGAATCGGGAGTTCACTTCTTCCTCCGCCCGAGGTTTGTCACAGCGGCTGTGGCACTCCCTTGCACAGACCCCATGGTGAAGGTGTGCCCTCCCAGCAGCACCTACACACCATTTCCTCAGCCTGCATCTCATGGGGCTCTTTGGCACCTGCCTTGCTGCTTGTTTTAGAAATGTAAATGCTTAAGTCGACAGCAGACAACAGTATTTTGTCTGTTCTCGAGATTTCAGATTTCTTGTTCGCACACAGAACCTTCTTAATCCTTGTCTTCCTTGTCCTCCTTAATCCTGTGCTCAGACTCAGTTCTTATCTTCTGATTTGGCTGACAGGAGGTGTTGTTCTGGTTTTCAACCAACACTGTGCTCCAGAATTTCAATCAAACCTGGAATCATATAATGGTTTGTTTTGAATAGGACCTTAAAGACCATCTAGCTCAGAGAGAAAGTGGTCTGGTGCATCACTGACTCTGTGCATCCCAAATAATATGCCACCTGTCCTGAGAAAAGCACAGATCCTTTTCTGGCAGAGCTGGAGGGTGAAAGGTGATGCAGATGTGGCATCTTTCTCTGTTTTGGGGTGACTGACCACCAATCCTCAACCATACCCAGTCCTGAGTGTTGCAGTCACACAAGTTGTTTCTGTAGAAAGCCCACATGACCAAGTGGAAGACAAAGTGGAAAAGCATCCAATCTGAGGAGGATCTGTGCTCTGATAACTTGTGAACACCATCACGTGCCCCTGTAACCACAAGCTCCTGGGCAGTAATTCCCTCTTGGCATGCAGCAGAGCAGGGCTTTTCCACTGCTCGCAGCTTACTGAGAAAGCCACAGCACATCTGTTCAGTGGTTGAGCCACTGAGCATTCTCTGCATAGCCCGCCTGGATAAGCTGTCACTCTTGATTTTTAAAACATTTCACAACAGAGGGTTGGCCTGGAATGGGGAACCTCTTGTGAGCAGCATCTGCAGAGGCCCCTCTGCTCACAAAGCCCTACCAGGCAAAGCTGCCACCATCATCTCTTGGCCAAGAGGGGATCACGTCCTCTCTGCTGCAGCAAAGCACACCAGATTGTTTACCCCTCCTCAGTGACCTGCTCACCTCTGGTTTGCATTTTTTATGTTTCTAGAGCAATGCTTTTATCTCGTCTTCCCTGCCACCATCCAGGTTTTAGAAATGCTCCTTAGAATATCTTTTCTTCACGCTCCCTCCGGAACACTGATTTTGCTTATCTTTTTGAGAAGAAATTGGCCTCCTGTTCTGTTACTCTGCATGTTAGACTTGGTTGGCTGGGGAGAGAAGAAGAAGTGTGTATGCAAAGTCTCTCATTAGCCTGGAGATGCTAATTTCCTTAAGCCTTATTGATAGTCAACCTGGGAATGATCCACAGAACTTAAACTTAGCTTGCTCTTCTGAGGCTCCCTTGAGAAGTTTCTGTCTCTCTCCATTGCCATTACAGATGATGACAGTGATAAATATTTGTCTGAGTGAATACTTCCTTGTTTGTTTGATCTTTAACAGGGTGCATTTTTGTTTCTTTTGCTTTATATTGTGTGTTTCCCATGCTGAGCAGAATCCACCAGACTGAGGGAGTGGGCTGCTTTGTTAATATTATTACATTCTGAGTTATATCTGGTTACGTTTTTAACCTATGAGTCAGTAATTTCTGCCACAAACTTCAATTAATATGTGTCTCATCAGTGTAGAGACTAAAAGTTAAAGGCTAGCATATGGTTTGGTTTCATTACATTTATAAAATTTAGTAACAGTATTCTTGGTTTGAACAGAGAGACATGGCTGAATAGAATTTCCTAAAAACCTTGCCCACAGCCCATTGTCATCTTATTCAACAGGTCAGATTTGGAATACAAATAGCAAGTGCTTGCAGGGATTTGAAAAAAATAGATTTATTTTTCCAATTTATAGAAGTTAAAATTAACAAAACAAAGCAAAAGCCTGCCATTCATCTCTCAGTTGCTGAGTTGCTGTCCCAGTTGAATATGCTGGTTGGTGGATGATATTTTTGAATGTTATCATTTCCAGAATGTGTTTACTAAAAAGCAATTTCTCTATCTCTGTTGCAGTGAACTATTTCATTAAAAACGGTACAGAAGATGTGTTACTGTGTGGCAACAGCACTGATGCTGGGTAAGTACTTTAAAAATATCTTCAATTCTGGTCTGGTTTTGTTGTCATTATTATTATTATTATTATTACTACATTTTCCTCTATTTCTGTCCACTTTTCACCAGCATGAAGTAGCTATTTCAACTTCCTTGGGTCTAGGCATAATAGTAGAGAGGATAATGACAATATTGTGCATAGTAATACAATTTTCTCAACTGCAGGGAGGAGAAGTTTCTATGTGTCACTTCCTCAGGTTTAAAATCTTTAGGGGCCTTATTACAGTTCTTTTTCAATCCATTTGAATTTCTCAGTAAAAAATAGTGGAAACTAAGTAAAATTTTGGCTGAGTGGAGAGTATTTTAATGGAAATGAAACAGAACACCTGGAGGGATTTAAATGGATGATGAATTCCTGGCTTTTGGCAAATGAAGGTAAACAAATCAACAAATGTCCCAAAAATAGCATGTTTTGGAAGTAGGAAGGTACTCAGGGTTGAATTGTGATCTACATTTGCACTTGATTTGCTTATGGATTATATGTATTTCATTTTCTCATTGTATAGACAGTGAAGCAACCCAGGGGTGTACTAACATCCTCTGCATAAAGGAATTTATTCATATCCCTGCCATCTATAGATGCCAATGGTTCCTCCTGCATCCCATCCCCAGGGTCCAAGTGCACTGGCAGAGCATGTGATTTTATTTGACAGCTTCTCATGATCTTGATGGAAGTGGAAGAGTTCAGACAGAATGGAAGGAGATGGGATCTTCTGTGGTCAGAGGAAATTATCAGCCATGCAAAGATTGCAGGCTGTTAGGAGTTGTAGGAAGAGGTGGAACTAATCTTGGAGTAGTGGGACAGAGGAGCTTCTGAGCCAAATATGTGAGAGCATTTGAACCAGGGAGGTGGGTGTCTTAGGCCAAGGGAGGAGGTGAGATGTTCTAATTCTGAAGGAAGATCTTCTGAGCTGGTAGAACCAAATGTGCAAGACTGGGGGAAAAAAAAAAAAAAAAAGTTTCATTTAGGAAGAATTTAATGAGGAAATAAATGCCCTCAGGTCCCAGGGAGGGTTGTTTTGCTTTCTGCTGCCGCTGCCTGTATCTGTATTGACATGAGACAAAGGGAAAGCTCAGTGTCAGCCTTCCCTCTGCAGGCCTGGTGTGTCTGATCCGTAGTTAGACTCCAAGATCCTTGGGCAGAGGGCCATGCTTTCCCCTTTGTTTGTTCCTCGGGAGGTACAATGTCAGCATCCATTAATTAAGGCCTTTGTTGATTGTAATACATTGTGTTTATCCAGGCTCAGGCAGAACTCCAAGACTATTGGGATGTTTCCCGGGAATCCCAGGATCTGGCAATCTCCATTGTGCTGGAGAACCTCAGCCTTTGCAAACCAATATTGGGAAAAACAAGTGCTCTGCACAGCAACAATATTTTGTGTGTCAACAATATTCATTGTTCTCGCTGATGACCTGAGCCGTGGCTGCTCATGGGCTATGCTGAAAGAGTTGATTGCTACTGCTTTGGAATTGTTCAACTGGTGGGAAGTTAAATATCAATCCAATATCCATGGAGTGCTTATATATTGGCAGCCTGTGTGGATTTAAGAGTTAGTTTGCAGCAAGGCAAATGAGCAAAGCCACCCTCTTTCCTTCCCGTAAAAGTTAATAAATTGCAGCATTTCAGCAAAAAGCCATGATTGGAGAAAAGCTCTGGTGGAGGCACTATGCCCACAAGAGAGTTACAGCCTGAAATATCCAGGGGAGAACTTGCAGTTCTCGAGTATATGAGGACAAAAATTACACCTTCAAACTGAGTGTTCTTGTACTTGTTTTGATAAATACATCAAAACTAGCAGTGTTTGTGACATCAAGGGAAACCAACTTTCCCTTCATGCCTCGTTTCTTTCTTCTTCAGCCTTTTGCTGTTTTAGTTAAGTATTTAATACCACTGGGTAAGGCTTGAGTTTAAATGCCTAAAAATGGGTAATAAATATTCCTACTTATGCTGGGTTTTTTTAGCTCAGGATTAGCAAGTGTTGTCTCATCTATACGTTGCACAGAGTTGCTTCTAGTCATCCATTGCTGTCGTTTAAAGGAGTGAAGATAATTAGAAAAATGATCCTCAGGCCTCAGGGGATGTGCAAAATCATGTATTCCCACCTGTTGGGACAGGGAGAGCATCATTTACAGGCTGACGTATCTAACGAGTAGATTTGTTTTCTCTCACCACTCAAAGATTGAAGGCAAGAGCAAGAGTGGTCAACAGAAAACCAAAATCTGCATGCCTGGGACCTTCTGGGGCAGGTTTCACCACAGGAGCAAGGGAGGGGACTTCAGAGGAAGTAGATAAATGAGGTTGTGGTTCCCTCATTTATTAGTAATGAAATTCATGCCAAGGGAGGACTCTTGGACTGGGAACCCATCAAGGCATCAGGAAGGTGTGGTAAGGAAAGAGAGCTCACAGCATTTATGGAATGTGCTTTTGCTCACAGTTTGAATTCATCAGCCTCTGGGACACACTGAGGACCCAAAGGAAATTCGGGAAGGGCGGTGTCATGTGTTCTCTCCTGGAAGGATTTGTTGTTAGAGTGAGGGGTATCTGTGTTGTGGCCAGGATATTAAATCTTGAGGTAATTGAAAAAGCCATTTCAGTGCATTTTTAAAAGCATGTTAATGACACTCTGAGGTTTGTCTGGTTGCTGTTATTATAGAAGAGTTTAAAAAAAAAATCCAAATAAATCTGCTATGGCAATTGTTAGGTGATGAGACTCAAGTAGTCTAATGTATGAGCGTGTAATGATGGAGACTGCAACCTGAGCTGGAGTAGCAAGCCAAAATCAGCAGGGAAATGATCATCAGTGGATTCTGTATCACAGGCAATCTAATTATCTCCAAGGTGGGGGCTTTATTACATTACTAGGAATGACTGTTTTCTGAACAAGCACCCAAGCTGCCAATAAAGCAGGAGGTAATGGATCTAGGTAATATTGATTCCAGTTCAGAAGGGATTTGAATAGATGTATGTCACTCAGCTGCAGCAAACGTGTGTCTAGTACTTGACCTGGCAGAGAGAAAGGGAAAAAAACCATTTGTTTGCATTTCTAGATACGCTCAAGCAACCTCAAGAATCTACTTTAAAAACCATGCTGCAGAGACATGGTAGGAATCAGGGAGGTAGGTCAGTGAGAGATGGTAGGTCAGAGAGATGGCAAATTTCTTAGGTGTACAAGGGCAAATCTGTCTTTGGGGTTTCCTATGTGATGCCTCAGAAACCTTCTTGAACCCTGAAATCTGACTTTTCTTCCTTTAATCAAGCAGAACTTTTTTGTTGCTTTTCATTTTGTTTATCTGACTGCATTTTCCCCCTTGATGTACAGCAAGAATTTGTTTTGTGCTTACAAGGAGCAGAGTACAATAGAAACAAGAAGTAACTTTTAGAGAAAAGAGAAAATCAAATGTGTGTGATCAAAGATTCTTTGGCTCAAAGTGACACCTGCTTGGTGTTTCACAGCAAGCACATTCAGAAAACTACACTGATAGAAAAATGCTTTGCTCTGTGTGTCAGAGATTGGTCAGACTGGGAGCAGTGCTAACATTAAGGATCTCTAAACTAAACAAAAAAAAGGCAAAAAAAAAAAAAAAAAAAAAGTAGTGCATTTGCAGTGGTTGATGTTTTTAGATGCTTTTGGAGGTTAAATTTAGTAGTTCTTTTGGATGTTGCTGCGCTGGGATATACACAAATTGTTTCTCTTTGCAATTTCAGCATCTTCTATTTTATTTGTTTAAAATAAATGGAGGAAGCTCAGATAGTCTGATTTTTAAAAAAGGATTACAAATTCTATAAATTTGCTTTTCAGTTTAATCCCCAGTATATATCTTATCCAATGTTGAACACCTTATTTCAGCCTCAAGAAAGGTGCAGTAAAGCCCCAGTACAATGGTCAAATATGAGATCTTAGATGGGAGCAGAAGGTGAAAACTGTTCTTTTCTTAGTTAGATCTAGTCCTGGCATCAAGTGGAGCATGATTTGTGAAGGCTGCAGAGCAGCAGGTAACAGTAGGCACCACCACATACTTCCTATAAAAATAGATATATTTTATATCTCTCTTATATATCTCTGTATATATATTTTTTTATCTTTCTCACATCCTTTATTTCTGCCCTCCTGGTCCCACCTTCAGATCCAAGGAGGCATCCTGCTGGAGCACACCACCACCAGAGCAGATTCCCAGTGGGGAGCACATCCAATCCTCCCATGCAATTCCAGCTTGTCCCTTCTTGGTGTCATTTAACCCCTCACTCTGGTGAGGTGCCCAGCACTGCAGAGTCCCCTGCTTCTCCACACAGTAAAGACTTTTATGGGGGCTGCAGCAGTGTGGAATTATCTCTCTGTGAGAAAGGAAGGTACATTTCAGCTCTAAAGCATTTTCACTTTCATCCTGCTGTAATTTCACAGGGATGTTTGTCTGCTGTGTTTAGGCTGCTGTTTTTATTTCCCCTCCTGCCTGAAGGTTTGGTTGAGCAATAGAAACAGCAAGGAAATTTGTCCAGTAGGAGAAGGAGACAAGATGCTGTCAGTGTACAAAGTAAACAGACAGACACAGAAGAGACACTTAAATTCTTTCTTTTCACTTTTTTATTTGCTAGCTTTTCAGAAAAGTGTACATGTTTTAAGTCATTTGTGCCCCCTTTGGATCAGACTGTTTAATTTTTTTTTACCCTTACATATCATATGTCCTGTGTATTCAGCTCATGGGCAGGAATAGTCTACAAAATCATCCTGACAATGGAAGCACATTTGCATCATGTCTGTACTGATATTACCAAAAAAGACTAGTGAACAGGAAGGAAAAAGCAGCCAGTAAATCTACTTCAGGAGCAACAAGAAAGCACCTTTGGCAACTGCATCCTAGTAATTGTTGCTATAGAAACTTTAGCTACCTTTATTCTTACTATGACCTTGATTTTTCTTAACAGGATACATTAAAATAATGTACACTGTGAGGCAAGATGGTTTGGTA